AGGACAGAAGCTGGGCAGGTGAGTGGACTATGCGCAGAGAAACCTCCCCTTGTGACTGCAACCGGCTGTGTTGGCCTCTAGCCCTCACCGTTTCAGAGAGACCAGCATGCAAAAATCTAGGCCACCTAGCATAACGAGCACCGCCTCGCATAACGAGCACACCGCTTAACGATGAATCCGCATAACGATGCGGATTTAGCAATCGCTAATGCGATCGCATACCGATGGTCTAAATGGCCAAAATTCGTTTTGCGACGATCAGTAAGCGTTTCGCTTACCGATTTTTGCATAACGATTTTTTAAAATCAGCTGTTCGGTGGTTCCAAAATGGCCGCATCATTCTGAGAAATGGGGACCGTTGGGCCACTCTCGCTGTCTCATTTTCAGAGCAATCAGAGAGAGAGAGAGAGAGAGTGTCCCCGTCCCTTTTCGCCACGCAAAGGTTCAAAGGGATTCAGCTTTAAAGGAAGGGCAAATGGCATTGAAATAAGGGGACCAACCTCCCGGTTAAGCACTTCAGGCACTTCTCTCATCAAGAACAAAGTGTGATTTTTTTCCCCATCTGTCCATTTTCCCACCGATGTGTCTAAAGCCAACTGTTAGTCTTGGCTACTGCCTGACCCTTTGAATCAGTGCGCCCCAGAGGGAGACCACAGCTGTGATACAAGTACATCTGCAAGCGGGATCTGAAGGCCTTAGGAATGGACCTCAACTGACGGGAAACCCTGACATCTGAGCATTTAGCCTGGAGGCAGGCGGTGCATCACGGCCTCCCAATTTGAAGAGACCCTTGTCCAGCAGGCCGAGGCAAAGAGGCCGTCCCGAAAGCAGCAAAACCAGGGATCTGGACAGGGGACGGATGGTGTTTGTCTCCACTGTGGAAGGGATTGTGTCACTCTCAAATTGGTCTTTTCAGCCACACTAGATACTGTTCCAAGTTCTCCATTCAGAGCATGTGACCATCGTCTCTCGAGACGGAAGGATGCCTCATCTAAATCTGACTGGTCCAAGTTCCCAATGATTCAGTTGGGCCTAACTGTCTGGTTTAGGTCTTGGTGAACATTCCACTGAGTAGCAGCTCCATTTGCTAGGGCAAAGGAGGGGGGGGGTCTCATGTTTTTGGCCTACTCAATCTGTGCCTTGGACTTGAAGCCTTTTGCAGGGCAGAATTAGGCCAAGAGACTGCAAGGTGTGCAGAAAGAGTTCAGCCTCCCCCCCCCCCTTCCAGATCCAAACCTCCCCAATTTTTCCATCCCATTGCAAACAAAACCACGGCCTTTAATTGACGTATTTTGAAGGGGTGAAACTGTTATCAGTCGCGACCAGATCTGCAGTAATTGCCCCACTTCTTCTTCTTCTTCCCTCTTTTCTCTTAGTACCACCCCGCAGGTGATGAGCACAAGCTCTCCGTCGCAGCAGGCAGAAAACGAAGCCAAAGCCAGCTCCTTGGTCACCATTGACGAGTCGGAGCCCACCACGAACATCCAGATCCGGCTGGCAGATGGCGGCCGCCTGGTTCAGAAGTTCAACCACAGCCACAGGTAGAAGGGAGGGGGGGGGCTTTGCTGATGCCTTTGTTCAGAAACCTTTTGGGGATGGTACACTTAGAAAAAAAAAGAAAGTGGGTCAGACCTTTCATCCTTCTGGTCCATTCTGGTCTCTGATTCTGGTCCCATATCCTGGCCAAAGCCCCAACTGAAATGGGTCCAGATGGGCACAAACCACACTTTGGCAGTTCAGCCCGGCGCCCAGAGTGGCCTGGCTGCCAGATGGTGCAGGGTATAAATCTAATAAATAAATTATTTCATCATTTTGAAGAGGACACAGCTCCGCAACTCCGAGTGCTTGGAAGGAGGACGAATTTATCTGGACTAGCCATTGGCGCAAACCGCAGATCAGCCCAGTGCGCCCTCGCAGGTAGATGTTCTGCAGACACTGTGCACTTCCCTTCCCTGCCTCATCTGGGGTGCTGACCCACTCACCGTCAGGAGTGCGCTTTCCTCCTCTGCCTCCTTGGGTGATCACCCGCTCGGGCGACGCAGGGCACGGAAGCCCGTGCTCTTGGGAGGGAAGCGTGCGGTGCCTGCGGAACCCTTGTGCGGGCGCCGAGCCGAACTGCCAAAGCCTGGTTTGTGCCCCTCTCTAATCTGGGCCCATTTCAGTTGGGGCTTTGGCCGGGATACGGGACTGAGATTACTCTGGTCATGGCGGTCGATGGTATCCTAGTGGAACATCTGGCTAGGTTGGGTGTTGCAGTGGTTCGGATCCTTCCAGACAGGACGCACTCAGGAAATGTGGGCGGGGGAACCCCGTTGAGCTCCAGCAGCCTTTGACCTGCGGTGTCTCTCAGGTCTCTAACTGATCCCCTGCATCGCTTAGCATTTCCATGAAGCCACGGGGAGAAGGCATTCAGAGGGAGGCGCTGCTCAGATGCTGGTGCCACCCGGTTCTGCTACTGCTTATCACCCCATTCCAAGGAAAGAGCGAGGACCGTTGAATCTGGACTGAGCTCAGTAACGGAGGGATTGAAGGCAAACAGGCTGACATCGAAGGCTGGCCAGATGATCCACTAGGATACCACTAGGTGGCAGCCGAGGGGAAAGGCAAGGTCAGGCGTTCAGACTCCATCTTTTGGGGAAGGGGTGGCAGCCCCCCCATAGGGTTGAGGCCTGGGAATACTCCTTGGTGGGCACGGTCCCTTGATTCCCAGCTGGCAGCCGTAGGGAGGAATGCTCTTGTACAGCTGTGCTTAGTGCACCAGCTGCAACCCTTCCTGAGTTGGCCAGACATAGCAACAGTCGTCCAAACCTTAGTTACACCACAGTTTGACTACTGCAAGGCTCTCTGTATGGGGCTACCCTTGAAGACGAAGGTGGGTGCACCATGTGGTAGTTAAATTATCAATGGAGGTGATCGTGATCACGTCATCCCGGTACTGACTTGTTGCCAGTTTCTTACCAGACCTAATTTGAGGTGTTGGCTTTAACCTTTAAAGCTCCGCATGGCTAAGGAATGGGATATCTAATAGATCATCTGGCTCATTATGAGCTTGTCCACACGCTACAATTTTCAGGAGGTGCCTTCTTAGGAACGCCAACGGTTGCAGAGGCCTCTGCCGAACAGGCCCGGGGGAAAGGGCGCTCCCCTTTGGGGCTCCCAGACAGTGGAACATACTCCCCCCTCTCCTCAGAGTAGCGGCCAGTTTTTCACCATCCCTGCTTTTGATGAGGGTATAAATGCACATCTTTTGAAGCTGGCATATAATATTTAATTGTGCTGTGTTTTTAATTTAACTGGTTGTAATGGTTTTTATTGGAGGGTTGGCCTTATTCGACTTCACTGATGTTATGGTTAAAACTGTACTTTTAAAAAATTTTTATGAAGATTATAAGCTGCCATGACTGCTATTTCGTTGTGAGGGGTGCAAGTGAAATAGACAGACAGACAGATAGATAGGTAAGCAAGCAAGCAAGCTCTGACCAGCGGCCACAGCTGTTCCAGGCAGGATCTGTTCCTAGTGTTGCCTGGAAGTACCAGGGATTGCACCTGAAGCCATCTGTGTGTGAGACCGATGCTCTGCCGGTGAGGCTGAAGGGGCCCTCCTCTGGCCGTTTCTTTCCCGACTGTTTGAGGATCGGGCTAAATCTGGCCTTTTTCTCTCCCGGCTTCCTCCACGCAGGATCCGTGACGTTCGGCTCTTCATCGCGGACGCCCGGCCGGCCATGGCGGCCACCAGCTTCGTCCTCATGACCACCTTCCCGAACAAAGAGCTTTCGGACGAGGACCAGACCTTGAGGGAAGCCAACCTACTCAACGCGGTCATTGTCCAGCGGTTAATCTAAGGGAAGCTGCCGGCCAGCTGGCTCCAGCACACCCCACGTCGTCGTATAGCCCTGCGTGTGGCCGTACCGTGCAGTGGAGGGTCACAGTGCCAGCCGTGGCGCTCAGTTCTAGGCTCTTTGGTTGGACTCTTTAGTTGCATTTCCCATGTTTTGTTTTCTCTCTCTCTTTCTCTCTCTCTCTCTTTTTTTGTGCTGATCTATGGACTTTTAAATAATAATAATTAAACCAAACACACGAACTTTGGAACGGAGCAGCATGGGCTGCCTGATGTGCCTCCCACCCCCGCCCATGCCCACCTGGTAACTTATGGCACAGATGGGAGGAGGAGAGGAGAGGGTAGAGGGTGCATGATCATCCCACCACCACCTCCCTCCCTTCTTCCCTCCTTGCTCCAGGGGTAGCCACAAAGTTCTTCCATCTCTTTGGTGTATTAAATAAAGTTGAACCCCCTCCATCGGGGCCTCTCTTCTCTGCTGCCGGCCATGTCCCCTAGGGTCCTTCTGTGTTCGGTGTCATGTGGATGGAGCTGGCCCAGGGAGGGGCTTGCTCTTAGGCCCTTGTTCCTGTCCTTTCCCGCCACCTTAAGTATGCTCACGGAACCCCGTCCGTCATCCACGTTTGTGTTCCCCAATTTCACAGTGTCCTTAGCGTGATCCTACTTGAAAAAGTCGAGAGGTTTTCTTGACTCTTAAAGAAAAAAAATTTAAAGCAAAGTAACCCTAAAATGGCTGCTTCTGCGAACAGTAGAAGCAACAGAGCAGTAGGTTTCCCCGGTGCAAAAGATGGGGTGGGGGTGGCCATCTATGGCATTTGGGTAGATGGCATGAAAAGGATCTGGGGGGGGGCTTGCCCATCTTTGGAGAGGGCAGGGGTTGGCCTAGAGAGTGTGACTCAGCTTTCTGTCTTGCTCCTGAAAGATAACTGGGATTTTTCCACTTCTGTGAGTTTCCCATCGAGCTGTTCCATCACTGTGTTTTGTGGGAAATGCATCCCTTGGCTGCCTTCTGCTGTTTCTCCTCTCTCCTTTGTTTTCTCTCTGATCGACGGGAAACACACCTTTGCTAGCCGTGCGGAAAGCCCTAGGAAAGCACCCATCGGAGTCCTTCTGGTTGCTTAGAGAGGGGTGCACCTCAGTCTTTGAGCAGATGCAGGTTAAACTGCTTGCACCAGGTGGAGGTTGAATACTCCCTGACGGGGAGGGAGAGCAGAAGCATCTTCCACGGGGGGGGGGGCGTTGATGCGTCAAGAGCCTGCAAAGCTAGATCTGAGCCATGCTGTTTCGTAAGCCGTTGAACATCCCACCTGACAGTTCAGAATGGGAATGTTCTTCCCTCGTGGTTAAATGGGTTCACAGTGAACTCTGTACGTTATTGTGACAACTGTGTGAGCATTAAAAACCCACGTTGAACCTAGGACATGTCATTAGTCCCTTTCTAAGATAACGGTGAAGTGGTTTCCAGTTCTGTTACTCGCAGGGGATAGGTTTATAGGGGGCTGCCGGTGCCCCTAGAATCCTGAACACTTTTAAACCCTCAGGCGGACAGGATTGTGTACGGGAGAGATTTAAAGTTGCAGAAAGAGGACTGGAGATTTGAGGGAGAAGAAAAATTTCACATCTTTACAGACATGGCAACGTGAGTTGTTAAAAATGGCTTCAGAGTGCTGACATGGGGGTTTGCCCGCTTTAACTCTGTGGGAAAAGGTCCCTCTGAAGAAGAAGGCTAACGAAGTGAGGGAAGAGTTGGGCTGGACGTGTTCGTCCTGGGAATAATTTCCTTAACTCCCATCCAGGATTCTCGCAATGCAGAGCAATGTTCAAAAATGCGATTTTCCTCTCTTGAGATTTGAAGTTGTTGAGCCTCTTCTGTTTACATAAGAACATGAGCCCTGGTGGATCAGGCCAAGGGCCCATCTAGTCCAGCTTCCTGGATCTCACAGTGGCCATACCAAATGCCTCTGGAAGTAGACGAGACAATGAGATATAACTATCTCCTGATCCCCCTCTTCCCCTGCGTCTGGCCTTTGGAGGTCCCTTCCTTCGAAGCCTGGAGATGATACATCCCCTTCATGGCTTTGCCACCTGCGATGGACTTTTCCTCCAGGAATCGGTCCCATCCCCTTTTCAAGGCCTCTAGATGCCAGGTGTCATTGCCACATCCTGTGGCAAGGAGTTCCACAGACTAACCACACACTGGGTCAAGAAAGATTTTCTTTTGTCTCTTCTCACTCTCCCAACACTCCATTGGAGTGGATGTCCCCTGGTGCTGGCCTTTCGCGAGAGGGGAAAGACTTCCCTCTTACCCCCTTCATCCATCTCTTGCATAATTTATCCACCCTGTTTGTGTCTGCTGAAGTTGTAGCCCAGGCTCCGGTCTTTATCCAGTGTAGTGCTTCTGGTGAAAGTGTGGGGCGGGGTGGTGGTCTTTGTGCTGCTTCTGTTTCACTCCCCCTTCATTCCATTTGAGATAAGCATGCAAGAGGTCTACTTACCAGGGAAGGATTTGGGGCAATTGTTGCTATTTTCTGCACTTACTGGAATTAAAAAAGAAAAACGACAACCACTGGATTTTTGTCTTGGATGAATGCTTGGCATAGAAAGTAGAATTCCAGCAGTTTACTCCACCCCGTTGGCTGCTCATCACTCCCCCCTGGTCTGCCACCAACGTTGCACAACCTGGTCGGAAGAATTATGGAAGTGAGATTGCGCCATAAGCAAGGCAGTTCCCGTCTCAAAGGTCATCTTATCTGTTTTTTTTTTCTGCCTAGACTACTCTTAAGACAGCATCACCTAAAGAAGCCGTCTCATAGGAATAGGAAGGATTGTAAGCTTCCACGATGTGGAAAGACCGCTGTTCCAGATGGGGAAGCGAGGCCTTTGACCCAGGCACGTGAGAGAGAACAGGTGGTATCCTGGCCAAACTTTGAATCTAGCACATGGACCGAGTTTTTTCCTGCCTGAACAGGATTTCCATGTCGAAGGCTCTGTCCCTGCCTGTCTCCACATTTTGGTCCTGGCTGGCTGGAGCCACGGCTAGTCAACTCAGAACAAGTTTGGGGAAAGTTTTTCTGCTGCAAAAACAAGAGAAGCCAGCCAGGAGCCGCAGACGGACCGGAGGGTGGCCCGTTTTTTCTTCTGCTATTCCCCCCCCCGCCAAAGGGTGGTGCAGAAGCACTGAGCCGAAACCGGGGGAAGAGGTTTCCTAACCGGTCCAGAAATGGCAGGTATTTTGCTTCCTAGGGTTGACCACTGCTCTTCTTTATGCAGTCGGAAATAACACAAAGCTCTTTCTTAATCTTGATCCCTCGAGCACATGCGTCTGCTCGACATCGCCATTCTTTCCCTGGGTGAACAGTATTCCCAGGTACCCAGGATTAAGAAGGATGCTCCCAAAGGATATGAAAGGGATATTAAATGGGAGATTTGTTGTTGTTGTTTAGTCATTTAGTTGTGTCCGAATCTTCGTGACCCCACAGACCAGAGCACGCCAGGCCCTCCTGTCTTCCACTGCCTCCCGGAGTTGGGTCCAATTCATGTTGGTTGCTTCAATGACACTGTCCAACCATCTCGTCCTCTGTCGTCCCCTTCTCTTGCCTTCACACTTTCCCAGCATCAGGGTCTTTGCCAGGGAGTCTTCTCATCAGATGGCCAAAGGATTGGAGCCTCCGCTTCAGGGTCTGTCCTTCCAGTGAGCACTCAGGGTTGATTTCCTTCAGAATTGATAGGTTTGTTCTCCTTGCAGTCCAGGGGACTCTCAAGAGTCTCCTCCAGCACCGCAATTCAAAAGCTTCAATTCTTCGGCGGTCAGCCTTCTTTGTGGTCCAGCTCTCACTTCTATATGTCGCTACAGGAAAAACCATAGCTTTGACTATAAATGCAAAGGAAAGCTTTTTAAAAAATGGAGAAGAGCAGTGGGCTCGTGTTGAAAATCTCCCTCTTGAGTTGATGCAGAGGCAGTTACTCCCTAAAGGGGACAGCTCAAGTCCACGGAAGCACTCCCTCTGAGGTTAGACCAATAAATAAATGAGTACTGTAAATAGACTCAGCAGGCCACGTGTGTGTGTGAATGGTTTTTCTTAAGGAGATGCTGGCTTCTAGAAATCCAAGCACCTTACCTGTCCATCCGCGGACCCTAGAGGGGTTCATTAACTCCCTTGAATGTTACCTTCAATCTTTCCTTTAAAAACCAGAGTCCTGAAAAAGTATCTTGGTTTCTCCAGTAGTTTATGGAATTGTTGCCCACTGCTGGATGGAAACCTTTGACTTTTCTTTGGTTCAAGGGTGGGGAATGTGGGCTCCCTGGAAGTTTCCAACTCCTGTTAGCCCTAATCAACATAGGTGTGGGATGAGTAGGAAAGACATCTGGAGAGAGACACACATTCCTCCATCCATACCTTAGAGTAGCATGACTCTGGAAAGGGGGAAGGAAAAGAGGAAGACCAAATGGAAGATGGATTCATTGCATAAAGGAAGCCACAGGCTTTTGAGTTTGCAAGATCTGAGCAGGGTTGTGGGAGGAGACTGAATGGCCCTCATTCATCCGGGCTCTGAAAGCTGGAGACAATTTGACAAGCACACAGCAACCACTCAGCACCCTTCCAGAAGTTTTGAACTACAATTCCCATCACCCCACAGTTTTATTCCACAGTTGCTGGTTGTGGAATCTGACATACTTGGAAGGTGTTGGGTTGGGGACATCTGACTGAGGGCATGTTTCGAACCTCCATGGCATTTCTCCACATCATCACCTAAAAGCTGATGTAAGGAAGCCAGTTTTCTCCCCGATTATGTTTTGGCCTCGGCCACAGGTTGTCCCCCAGCTCCACCTCGATCCTTTGGGATGATAACACCATTGTGGCTGGGCCTTTCCCTGACATTCGTGGCTGTCCTTGTCAACTTTGTAATATCCTTGATTTGCAAGGGCTGCGGCCAGATCTTGAAAGACAACGCAAGAAGACAACCGGCGCTTGAAAAAAATCCCAATCTTCAAAAGAAGGGGAATGCTCTGTGGCTTTCGTGTGGGAGGTGTCTCCTGGTTTTGTCTGTAGTTGTTCTGTGCTGTCAAGTCCCTGATGACCCTCTGAAGGAGCCACCTCCAAAGGGTCTGATCCTCTACTGCCCTGCTCAGCTCTTGTAAATGTCATGGCTGTGGGAAGATTTTAAAACCTGGGTTTCAGCCCGGTCTAAGCGGACACATTCACCGTTGTACCCATATTGCCTCTCTGTTAAACGTCCGCCTCTGTTGCATTTTTCACTCCTGATTCAGTTCCCTCTCCAAGACTGGATCCATCAACGTGGTTTACAAAGCAGGACTACATACCAAGTCCTCAAAAGGTGCCTTCTTTAGACCTTCTGGGGCAGGATCTGGCAACCCAGCGGAGAAGAAATGGGAGGCTGAGCTGTGTTGAAGAAGGGAAGCCTGCTTGCCTCAAAATCACTCCGTGCTGCAGAACATGAAAAAATAATGAGCCCATTAAAGTTTGTGCCCTCATAAACAGGTTGCCGGATTTTACCCCTAAGCCTCTTTTCATTCTGCTTTCCGCAAATCTTGGAGCTCATGGCCCTGAACGCTGGAAGGTAAGAGCCCAATGGAGCTAGTGGGACCCTGGGCTTATCTCTTTACAAGAAAAAGGATTAGGGAGTTCTTTTTTTAAAAGAATGAAACCGAAAAGCCAGGAAGGAGGGCACTTAGCACATCACCGAAGGGGGCGAAGCTTCCAGGAGCCACATCTGGGTCTGAGCGTTGATTTTCCGCTTTGCGTCGTATCTGCCTTGAAGAAAGGCCACGAGGGGTTGGTTTTTAATGGTCTGTTTGGAGTGGGACTCTCCGGCCCTTTAGAAAGAGGCTTGTTTGGAATCTGGTGCCAAGATGTCCTGTTTCGGTTGGCACCGTCTCCCGGCTCAGCAGCTGCTTCCCGGCTTCTCCCCGGCCACATGGCAACTCTGTCATTAATCTCTTTGTGGAACGCTTCCAAGGCTGCATTTTTGTGCCTGGGGCAGCTTTTGTTTAAAAAGTCCTTTTTTCTCCCCGAAGCCCCAGGCAGGCTTGGCTCAGGGTCGTGGGGGCACTGCGAAGGTTCTTGGACTACAGGCCCCATCAGCCATAGCTGGCTGCAGCCAAGGCTGGGGAATTAGGGGGGTTGTAGTCCAACAACATCCAGAGGGCCATGGTGGCTAGCTTCATAGGCGGATTGATAATCCCTTCTAGTCAACCCCATTAAAAAAAAAAAATCAGTAAGAGATGGCGTGATGCACACCATGCTGGCTGGGCGCATGATGAGAATGATTGTTCAACGGATTTGAAAGGCAACCGATCAGGAGACGGGAAGAAAAAGGGGATTAAACCGCACAGAGCCATATTACTGGTTGATACGGACCACAAGAAGAAACTGCATAAATATGGCGCTGAGATAA